CCCTCCCCACCCCCACCTTCTCGGCACGCACACCTCCTTGTGCCGTGCGGCCATCCGCACCATGCAGCAGCAGCAGCTTGCTCCAGTTAATTAATGGCGCCTGGTACAAACGGGGCGCGCGCCGTCAATGGCGCGGATGCCACAAGGGGGGGACCCTCCTGAGAGGGTGCATTGCATGGAGTAGTACAGAACAGAGCACCCCTTTGCGGCCTCCCGCGGTGAACACCTTACCAGGCACGAGAAAGTCACACTCGAGATCACACGACATGACTTAAAAATAAAGGCCTCTCCCCGGGGAGGTAGAGGTGTGGAAAGAGCACCTTTCGTTCTGGTAGAGACGGCCTTGGGGACTATCTATAAAGAGTATGCTGAGCGATTTTTTTGGGTCCTAATACTTCGGCGGCGCCTTCACAATGGCACTAAATACCACCTTTGTTTTCCCCCAAAGTCTTCCCGTTTATTAGTTAGCAAAAAGCATGCCCCCATCTCCCCCTTCCTTTTTTTGAGAGGGGGGGGGAGGGGGTGGTGCGCTACAACTGGCTATTCAAGTTGCCTGTGCGGTCTTACTGGAACGACAGCGCGGGCCAGCTGCGGTGGCCTTGGACACCCCGTCCCGCGGGGCGGCGCTGACGTCGCCGTCTTGAAGCCGATGGAAAATGCCCCCGCCCCACCTCACCCCCCACCGGGCCCCCTTCTCTTTACTCCGTTCTCTCAGTTGCGCTGCGATCCGCACGACTGCCGCTGTCTCGAGCCCCTCTCTCGGAGCCCTCCCATCCTGCAAGTTGCACTGAGCTACTAAGCTGAGAGCCGCCGCCCCGGCCCGGTCCCCCGCCCCGACCCTGGGCGGCCAAGGAACCCTGGATAGAGAAGGCAGTCTGAGAGCACTCGCGTGGAAAGTGGACGCGGGATGCTTGCTTGTGTGTGTTGGGGCGCTGGTGGTGGGGAGGGATGAGTACAGAGAGTGGAAAAGGGCGGGGGGAGAGCGTCCCGTGGCGTGTGCAGCCACCCGGCCTCATACAGAAAAAAGGAAAGGGCAGAGAAGAACGAACATCAGCATAACGCGGGAGGGAGGTAGAGTTCTGTATGCGAATGGCAATAATAAACCTGTGTTTAGAAAGTGCGCCGCTAACCCCGGGACTTTAGACCACAGCGGGCAACTAATAAATAACTAGGGCGGGAGCGATGTGGTCGTCGAGGGCCGCCCACCCCTCCTCTCTGGCGGTTAGTCGACCTCGGCACCCCTCTCCCCCTCATGGACACCAGCAGCAGCACATGTGTGGTAAAGGGGACCCGTTGCCGAGCCCCCCCCCCCACGATTTGATAATCTATTCACAAAGGCCGGGGTCGGTAACTGCGCGTCAGTCAGGGTCCTGCTCCTCCCAGCCCAGCAGGTTCTTTACCCTTTTCTCCGTATTTTCGGCGAACCTCCTCTCTGTATGTGTCTGTCTGTCTGTCTCCCTCTCTCTCTCCCCTCTTTCATGGCTCGTTACTCTTCCCACCGTCGTCAGCCCAGCCAGCTTGGCGGGAACGAGACGCGTGCACTTACTCTCAGCAAAAGAAAAGAAAACGAAAAAATGTAATAATTCTTCTATCTAAATGCGTTTCTTGTTTTATGTACACTCGTACGTTGTAAGGGTTGGGTAGAAAAAATGACTATTCTACATTGCAAATTACGGTTTTAGATTTTAAACTTTCAGTTTCTATCGTGCTAGTGGTCCAAGAAGAGCGTTTTACGTCGCATCAACTGTCCGCTGTCTTCCTCTACGCGGTGTCCGCTGCTTGTCTGCTAATCTTTGTGCCGAGTACAACGTGATTTCCACTGACAAGGCGCACACAAAAAAGAACTTCTGAGTGGCTTAAAGTTTCACTAACAGGCCGGAGGCGGAGGAGTCAGAGCGACTGGAGCACAAGTGATAAGCCTCTGACGGACGGCGTTTATCGCTGTCGAACTCGACGGAGGCGAGCGGCGGGCTGGGAGACCAGCGCCCTTCAAGAAGACTCGCCAGCCTCGCACGGGGGTAGTAACCGCGGGTAACGGGTGCTCCAGCAAGTCCAGCAGCACCAGCACCAGCCGGTAGAGGGCATCGCCCCCTCGTAACTCAGCCGCAGAACATTTCCAGCGATGGACAATGGACGGATTTTCGCGAGCAAAGTCACAAATAATATACGGTCATCCTCCCCCAGCCACACCGTATCCCATCTCGCGCCGACCCTCACTCCCAACCCTCTCCTCTCCGACCCTCTGAGGAAAGGGTTCGGGCTCTTACGGGTGGTCGGGCGCTGATCCGCATACCCAAATATCGCAGGCACTCGGACTACTTGTGTGCGGGCGTGGCTTTGCTCAACAGCGACGGCGGGCGTAGAGGCCGCGAGCTGGGCTGGCCGGGGCTGGTCTACCCTAGCATCACAGGCGTTTCCGTATCGTTCTCTGCATGTGTGCGAGGTGTTCGCCGAATGGTACGACGGCTCAAAACATTATTACGGCACGTTTATTCAGTTTCCCTTTTATATTCTTTTGGTGAGACGGCCCCCCTCGTTGCTCTGCAGTTTTTCCCCTTTTCACAAGTAAATGTAAGGCCTGGCAGGCGGGGAGGCGTAGCACGCGGGGCAGGGCGCAGGTAAAGGAACTCAGTCAAGCCGTTGATGGATTAGGTGTAATACACACGGCTCCTGCCCCGCCCCCTCCTGTTCGACCAGCCCACCGGCTGTCGCCGACGCCTCCAAGACGCGGGGTTGCGTGAGCTTTCAGTTGGTACTAGGACGATGCGAGAGATCACGGAAATGGTGTCGAATTGAAAAGGGTAAAACATATTAAAAATGCTGAGGGAAAAGGAGAAGCAGGTTTGTCTTGTCCAGGAAAATATATGGGGAGGATTTCGTGCATTCAATAATATTCGCCCAAGAAAGAACTCGATAACGCGGTGCATAGAAAGTGGGTTCCTGGAATTATTATTTTAGTTTGTAAACAGAAAATATTCTTCGGGAATATAGCAGTCTTGGTAAGTGAGGCATAGTCAAATGGAGATGAAATTATGTTCGTCGCTGATTGTGATTACAGCCCACGCTTCTTCAGAGACCGCCCGCTTGCGAAAGCCGACACACTTACTTACTTTACCCTTCCGCGATTTGTTCGTGATTCATCCCCCTTTGGCTCCAGACGGCGCCGAGCCCTTCCAACAGCTGATGGAGCACTCCATCAGGCGGCCGCCAGATGGACCCCGGGAGCGCTCTGATTGCCTGCCGCGGGGATCTCAACGACTCATCAATTACTCGTCTCCAGGCCGGGTAGAAAAAGAAGGGGGGGGGGTCCGTTGGTGCTTTTAAAACACATACACAACCTCACACGCTCACACAAAAGCTCACCTGCGGCGTGCTGAGGCACGCGCCCACGGCCCAGACGAACAACACGGAGCGCGGCAGCGAGGTGGAGTGGCGGCGCGTGGCGAGCGGGTGGCTCACCGCCACCCACCGGTTCTGCGCGATGAGCACCACGACGTACGAGGAGCCGTGTAGTGCCGTCATCTGGTTAAAAAAAATTACAACATGAGAAGCAAGTTTACATTGTAAAAAATATCCCCGGAAAGTTTCCAAAATTTTCTGTTTTTAATTTTACAAAATGTGTAGTAAATTTGCTAGTCCATTAATTCCAAATCGATATGAAGTGCTTGTAAATTTACAATTTTCAAGTCATGGACTTCTTTTTCCTCAAACTTACGACTACTTTTTACAGTGATAGTTTACTTTGGCGTTATACTAATTGTACACACACACACCAAAAGACGTGTTCGTGATTATATGTACATTTTTCGTGTACTTTATTTCCTTCAGTGCATTGCACTTGTTGTTCCGAGTAGAACGCCCTCTCTCACCACAATCGCAATGCACTCAAGGAAACCGAGTATCGGGAGATTCCAGAGCGGACACCGCAGCGTTGCGGGCTTGCCTTCTCCCTTTGTCCGTAAGGCGCCCGCGGCTCTAGTGAGTTTGGAATGCAGCTATACACTGTGGTGTCCGCTCTAAAACACCTGATTCGTTTGTCCCAAAAAAACAACTAAAACCAAGGTCACAATTTTTGGGGGTGTATTTATGAGACCAATCGTCTGAATTAGAGAGATTAAATACCTGCACAAACTTGAAGGCTTTGCAGGCCACGTTGCCGAAGGGCCACTGCACCAGCAGCATCCAGATGGCCTCGCCGGCGATGCACACCACGGCCACGACCACGTCGGCCACCGACAGGTGCAGCAGCAGCTTGTACACCACGGCGGGGCTCTGCGGGCAGGCAGAGGAAGAATAAGACAACCGGCCGTGAGAAAGCGCGCGGCATGACGGCGGCGCCGGTGGGACGGGAGGGTGCTCCTCGAATGGACCACCACTACCACCGCCTCCAGGGGCGCCTCTCTCTGCTCTTCAGATATTCCGGGGGCGTGGCGGGTTTCGGAGCAGCGCTCCTCGGAAACAATTACGATTACAGCGAGCCGCCGGCGGGGTGAGGGCGGCCTCTCCAGCCACAACACCCCTGCGGGAGCGCCCGCCCGGGCCCGGCTGCCCATCTAGTCCGCCGGCGGCGCGGCCGTGCCCGGCGGCGGGCCGCCGAGCCCCGAGCGCTGCACGACGGCGGCACAAATTGGTTTAAATGACTGGCACTTTCGCCTCGGGGACGCTCATTTCCGGGTGTTCCACCCCCGGGGACTGGCCTGGCTGAGGGACCATTGCACTGCAGGGACCTTTACCCTGCTCCGCCCAATCTTGCCTCCCCGTCGTCGTCCCCCCCCCCCACCCCCTTTGCCTTGACCGAGGCCCTGACCACTCATCCACTCATTGCCAGCAGCATGGCCTTATTGCTCATGCCACTTGGGCGGTTTATTTTTCACGCTTCGCAATTTTCTGAGTCAAACATGGACGCAGGGTTCTATCAGCACGGACCACACTACTGCTCTCCGTTGAGAAAGGCAGCACGGTTGCAGAGCAGCTATTACCCACTATTTTTATAAAAACGCACAAAACCGTTTAACATCCCCTGTCTCTTAATTTTAACAATTTCGTCTGGTGGTTTGAAACATTCAGAAAAATTGTCTCAAACTGCCGTTCAACCCAGTAACTTTTTTTTACCTTTGGGATAAGGTTTAAGCAAATTTCCTCAACTTCTTTCATTACATTGATTGTGACACAAAACATGTGTTATAAAGATGGTCGCCACAATGACGCGTTAACTATTACGGGCTGGTACTCACCGCCTTGCTGCGGATGCTGTAGATGGTGTAGAGGTTGCCCACGCAGGACAGCAGCGCCAGCATCCCGAGCAGCGCGGCGCGGATCACGTCGTCGCGGTCGAGGGTGGGCGCGCGCGGCAGGCAGCGCGTGCAGGCCGACAGGGGCGCGGACTGGTTGGCCAGCGCGTCGCACACGTCCTGCGGCAGCGCGGCATCGCTCACGTTGCCGCACCACGAGCCGTTGCTCACGTCGACGGTGACCTTCGCGGCGGCGAGACACCAAACGATAAATTTGTATTAAACCCCCAACATTTTGGGTGCGCGGACTGAAAGCACAGTTCTGTTGTGCTGGGATGGGCGTGTGACTCGTTGGGCGATTGAGAGTGCGTGTGTGGGTGTGGGTGTGTGTGTGTGTTTGTGTCAGAGAGATAGAAGGGGGGGGGGGCGGAAACAATAAAAAAAAGACAAACGGACAAAAAGACATAGAGGAAGTTAGCACCTTTCTCATTCTCATTTATCTCCAGACTTTGCTTCCGACAGCATCCGCGCCTGGGGCGCCAGAAGTGTTTCTGTGAGCTTGTTTGTTTTTTGCTGTTTCCTTTTCATGTTTGCATGTGATTCAGAATGACGCCTATTTTTTTGTTATATTTGTGCTAGAAACACGTTCACAATTGACGCTAATTGCCTCAGAACGCACAGTTCTGGAGAAAAATTGAGTTACGGACTAAGATTGTTGCACGAGACTTTGCCCCTTGGCTAGGTACATCCTCTCAGTAAACCCGCTGTTTGTTTTCGAGCGTGACAGCGACGGCAAGCTTAATTAAGAGAGGGGGGATGGGCCGACTGAGGCCTGACTGCGTGACCCAAGTTATGGGTGGCTCCAGTTCGCTATGAACAAGCAGTCGTTATAACCCTTTTTGAAGTTGAAGTTGAAGAAGGAAGCTCGATGTGGTGATGAGGGAGGATGTGACTCAAAGGTGGGGCTCAAATATCACTCCGAATATCGTCGTCGTGACGTATCTACTTTTAGCGGCTTTTAGTGAATGGGGAAAGTACTGTGGGTGCAGTAAAAAGCAAGGGATGTCAGGGCGTGTGCTCTAGTGCACTAGAAAAACAAACAAAAACAACTAAGTCATGCCTTTCTAGGGGTGCTCAAGAATTTTTCAGTTTAGTGCCCCTATAAATAGGGCACTAAAGAGCTCATAAAGGTGCTACAAATTAGTGCCCTTGTCAGTTTTAGTACCTTTGTAAAGACCATAAACCTTTAGTGCTTTTGAAAGGCAGGACTTAGCACCTTTTGTTGGTTTTCTCCTAGTGTGCCCTGTGTTAATCGCCTCGTGTTTGAAGTGTAATTATGCAACACCGTGATCCACGTTACCTGCTGCAGCCACTCGCACACGTCGGGGCACAGCGGCCCGTACTGCGCGGCCAGCGTCCCCAGCGCGCTGCCCGACACGATCATGGACATGGCGGTGGACAAGACGATCGGGGCGGGGCGCGCGCCAGTCACATCTGTGGAGCCCTCACTCTCGATCGTTGCGGAGGAGATGGCCGTAAGCAGATATATTCCTTATGCCTCCATTCGTGTGCATGGTAGTGCGGAGTGCAAACACTTCGTTCTCACTTTGCTGATGTACTGATGCCCCACTGGGTTGTAATGTTATTATTGTGATGTTGTTGGCTGCTTGTGTTTTTAAACGAAACTCTTTTTTGCCATTTCCGCCATTTTCTTCTTTCCGGGAGTAATTACGTGGCGAAGAAAATGAACTTCAAGACTCTCATGATTAATTCACATAGCCATGAATAGGAAGTGTTTGCCACCCCAAACTTCTAACCCAAACAATGTTAATTGATATTTTTGTAAGGTAGTGAAAATGAACTTTTTTCAAAAGACCCCACGATCGGTGCATATTTGTGACTATGATTTTTTTAAATATTTTTTGAGTCCACGAATTTGCAGCTAACACAAAGAGATCCCCGTCCGCGCAGTCGAGTCGTTGGATGGGGTTTTCTGCGCGACACGAATCATTTTAGTGCTTTCGCTTTCTTTCTTTCTTTCTTTTTTTATTTTTTTTAGTCGGAGTGTGCCTTGAGCCTCTGCCGTAGGCCGCGATACTTTCGCAGCTGTTGCTGGGGTGTTCCGTGGCGTGTGCCACAGGTGCGCAAGGTGCTCCGCGATATCTATCTTCAGCGTGACGAGGCGGGTCTTGGCGTCCCGGGAGAGGCGTTCCGCTGCAGCATCAAAGGCTCGCGGCTAGGGGGCGGCGGTGGCGCCTGACTTCCGGCCTTCCCGGAGGCAGCGGCATGACACGCCGTGCCGAAAACCGAGGCGAAAAGCCGGGGCGAAAGCCCTCTCAGCGAGGACGCCGTGGGGGCCGACCGCCTCTCTCTCTCTCTCCAGTAGTAATGCGAGTGCACGTGGTCGATGACATGGAGAGGCGACGGAGCAGGAAGGGTACGGCGCCGGCCTAACGCGTGGTGGGCACGCGAGCGCCCATCTCCAGCTGGCGGAGCACGGCGCCGCGCACGCGGGCGCACACGCTGACGAGCGAGAGGACGCGGAGGGCGCGCGCGGCTGCGCGGCCGACGAGGCGGCGGAGGGCGCGCGGCGGTGGGGCGCGGTGCTGTGCGAACCGGGGGGCGCTCCGCCCCTCACTGGCGCTACTCCGGCAGGGAGGGCTCGCACCCGCGCCCCGCCCTGCCCCGCCCCGCCCCACACCGCGCCGCCACCACGTCTCGCACAATTCACCCTCTTCGAACTCGATTTTTCTATTTCGCGGTAAAAGGAACGCGACGTAATGTGCAAGCCATCACCTGTTACACATGTATGTCCATGTCCCTTTCAAAATTTTGAGGAGAGGGAGTGGGGCGATCAGGTGGTTGGGCCCCCAGGTACGTGGGGCACGTACACAATCTTCGTGAAAGTTCTTGAAGACAAGCCTCAAAGACTCGTGGCTGAAAACAGGCATTTGACGATGTTCCATATGATCTGGGCGGGGCGGCGGCGGGGGCCTCCGGGCGGGACAAGAGGCACAACAGGCACGAGCCGGCTCTACTCTGCGCGCGCGCGCATGGCTGTCGCTACTCCTCGCGACCGGCAAAACTCTGTCGGGCGGATGTGTGTCCAGCGGGGGCCTCTTTCCTCCAGAACCGACTCTGATTGACACGACATGCGGCAGCGGACGGTCGTCACCGCGCCGGGCACCGCAGTCGGTACTTACTGTGTTCGAATGTGGCGCATTATGACTGTACACGTCAGAGTGTGTGTCCTCGTGGAGAGCGGCGCTGATGGTGGGGCAGGAGAGAATGGAGAAAAAAGGGGGGGGGGGGGGGGGCATTTATAGGAGTGCCACCGTGTGGTGCGCGGCTGTCGCTCTCGGAGGTGGACACGATGAACTTCCAGCAATCTGTGGCTCTCCTGCTCGTCCTTGCGCAGGTACGAGTTGCCCTCTGTGTTCTTTTTGCTCTGTGTTGTTCAGTGTTTTACGAAAGCACCCATCGCTCTTTTCTCTCTGCGACCAGTCCATAGTGATGGGCAGCGCACGGACAATGACGGAGGAGGAGCGCGACGAGTGTTTCGAGCAGAATCCTTTTGATCGCAGAGGTAATAATAAGTTGGCTTTTTCGTTTTTCGTACTCTGATGATTAAAGTTCTAGTATGGTAACAGGTTTTTGTTCTCCTTTTTAAGATGACATTCGAAGCTTTGTCGCACGGAAAGACGTTTCACGTGGAATGAAGGTACTTGTATTTATAAGCTATAAATTTTTAACAGAAGTTTTAACAGTAAATTAATAAGCACGGAAACTGTTTCTGACAGTGCTTCTTTTCGTGTGTGCTCCAAGCGCAACAAGTTGTAAGTCGAATTTAAAATCAACGCTGGATCTGGATCAGTTATCTCACTCTTTTAACTATTATTTACAGTAAATTTTGACACAGTTGACACCAGAAGGAGATATTACTGAGACCGCTCCTAGGGAGGTGACACCGCTATGGGGAGAGAAAATGCCTCAATTGACTAAAACATCGCTTTCGTGCTTCCAAAAAGGTATGCCTTGCAATGCAACTGGAGCCTACAGCCCTTGGAAATAACATGTATTTTATTGCAGATAAAATCGTTGCCGGCGATCTTTGTGAAACTGCCTACAAAATAACAAGATGCTTATTTGCCGTTCAACAGTCTATATCTACAAACAACAACTTGTCTTCCTAAACGAAAATGTGTACTCAGAGACTGTGTTTTGTTAAACCCGTTTACAATGGAAATACATTTTTACTTTTTTTTTCTCTACCCATCGTTATATTTGCCTAACTCGTCATCTTGGATGTTCCGGTCTGTGGTTCATGTACCGAATGTAAAAGGCAATACACCCCTGTGTTGCGGGTTTGCCTATCCGATCTGACCGGAAGGCACCATAGCCCCTTGGGTATGCAAACCCGCAACACTGGGGAGTATTAGTCTTTACACTCGGTACTATGGATTATTCGGTATACCAAATTAAGAAAGTTTTGTATGAAGAATTTTTCATGAATTAATTCATTTTTGGGGCAAGGGAGCAGGCACTGGTGCTGTCTAAACCAGCTCTGATAAGAATTTGTCAAAGCAGTGGATTGGGGAGAGTTAAGTAACTGGTCTTTTTTTAACCCCCCTCCCCCCCGCGCGTAAGGTACCATGACCCCTGCTCCCCTGAGCGGACATTCAATCTCGTAACACTACCGCGCTTGCAAAGAAACCAAAACAACCGGTCCCGGTACAGTACGTGTGCACAGTCACAGCACAGTGCGACCTTCCACTCGCTCAGTGTAGTATTTGTATGTTTTTGTGAAAACATTCAGGTTAAGTTAAACCTACGTTTAATTTTTGACAAATTTGTGCGCAAAATTGCATGATTTCTTACAAATAAATACACAAAAATGTTCGACCAGCACAGAAATGTGTGCTAAAAAATTCATTCCTTAAATTGGTGAACATATGTAAGATAAACTGATAAACTAAGTGAGCAACTTCTTAACTCCGTGCACAAACAGCAAGTTGAATACTCCATGGTCGTGCACTTGCAAGTGTTCAACTTGATTGATAGCTAAGGACGTGTGAGCACGTAGATTGGACGCCCACTGTTCGGAAAGAGCTCAGCATAGGAGTTACACACTTTGAAGTGCACGACTACTGAGTTGAACACTTTCAATAATTGTACAACTACGCAGGTGAACACTTTCAAGCTTACAACTTGGAGTTGCACAGTTAGAAGTATGAAGCAGTTGCACACCTTGTTTGTCAATGTCCGAATCTAATTATCGTGGACTCAAACAAAATGAACCGTCAATTTTTGACAAAAAGCTACACCTACACTTGATGAAACCTTGTGAAGGAATTCGTCACCAAAAAAAATGTCTGTGACCTTACGGAAGATTTTTGAGTTTGATAGCATTTTAAACAACTTTCTTCGTAAGCTGCAAGCCTCGATTAATTCTGTTTCGATTGTTGTTCTTGACTGAGGGTTGCCTGTCCGCCCCCAGCACCGATACTGCAAAACAAATTTAAAATCAAACACCAGTTTCAAACTAAATTTAAACGCAATGAAAACTTTAAAAACAGCTTTTTGTAAATTAAGTTTTAATTTGTAACCCGAGAATGTTTACAAAGATGACAGGAGTTTTTTTTTTTACTGTGTTGCCGGCACGGCGCACTACCGGATGGTCAGACAAATTAGAATGTGTGGCGTGCTTGTGCGGCGTTGTTTGTGGACTTTGGCTGCAATCACCCGTGCATTCATAGACTGCTGGTGGCCATGGTGGCAATCTCCCGGACGGTAAGTGCTGCCCAGGGCAGCATGCACTGCACTATCCGAAAAGGGAAGATGAGTGTCGGCTTTAGATTTTTATCGTTTTTTTTTTTTTAAATGTTGACGGCTCGATTATGACGCGAGTAGTAGAAATATCATTTCCGCTTACTCGGTCCCGTTTATGTCGTTTCCGTGCTTCTATTTTTGGCAAAAGTTGGGAAAGTCTTCACGCCTCATTGATCCTTGTTTGAAACACCCCGCCGTTCACGT